CCCTGCTCTGTCACAATAAATGCACAGAAATCAAGCATAAAAAGAAGGCAGTAAGACCTTTGCTTGAAGTGTTAGTATTTACTACGTTCAGAGTCAACAGCACCTGAATAAACGCACATTTTACATAACTTGTTTACTTACTCAAAACCTCTGATGGCAGCATTACGCTTTCCAGTGAAGAGGGCTTCATTAGCCACTTTCCACTGAATAAGGAGCTGAGTGTGTTCATCAGACCCTGTAATGTCAAAGCAGTAACCACTAGTCATTATCAATCCATTAATGCTACATTGACAAGCTGTGGCATATTTATTAATAGTAGCTTAGTATATAGCTGACAAAATATCAACAAAATATTAGTAAAAGAGGGGGGGGGGGGTTTTTAAAGTCCGTGGAATTTTTTTTATCTCATTAAACTGCTTAACAACTAACCTCTCCGTTAAAAAAGCAGTTAACAAGCTGATGTACAACAGCATTGACACTAGCTCGATCTGTTCGTTAACTTGATGTGATCAGTAATAATAATGATTAAACATCTTTTTACAGCCGATTCAAGAAATCATCTCATCGATTTACAATGTTTAAACTTTCATTAAGTCAGCCGTTCACTTAGATCATGTTAAACAAGTGCAATTTAAGCACAAGTAACAAAGTTTTTCCCTGAGGGACTTACACTTGAAAAGAGCTGCGCCGCCGCCTCCCGCCGTTCTCGAATATAACGCCTCCTCTCCTGTGGCCTCATGGGATAGTAAAGTGTCCATCGTATGCATGCTATGGAATACCGCTCCAGAGCGCTATTCAAGATTAAGTGTATCTCATCATGCATCATGTTCTGGAAATAAATCGTGAGACTTTTTGCCGATATCTCGCAAGATGTCACGGAAACCTTTCCAATGTAAGTTAAATATTGATATAATAATTAGATATTACAAAAAAAACTGTGTTTTTACTTTTATTGGTGCAAAGATGAGCTGTGGTGATATTTATTTTGTACAACATTTGCAACTGCTTTTTATCATTTAATTAGAAGCACCACAAATTAAAATTATGTCATGTTATAGGGACTACTGAACAGACATTTAGAAGTTGATTTTAAAATGCAAAGTATGTCAAATTAAAATTTAAATAAAGCTGTGTAAACACTTGCATTTTTACAACACTATAAGTGTGTCCCATCAGGTAATGAAAAGTTCGACACACACTTGTGGTCTTCACATCCACTTGAAGACTTCGGCCAAATACAGGAAATACGTAATTTAAGTAATGAAGTGGTCAAGTGCAAAGACTGCAAGTGTCGGTATTTGGACAAAGCTTATATCTGTGTCTCATTTAGAAGGCTGCACCCTCCGGAGGTCGCATTTGAAGGCTGCATATGTCATCGAGGCTGTCTCATTTCAGAAAAGCAAGTAGGACACTCCGAATGCGACCTTCTTTCACAGGAATTCGGAGGATGCATGAGGTGTATCCTTCGCTGCTACAGATAACCCACAATTCTTTGCGTCACCGTGAACAACCGTTGTTAATTTGAAAAATGCCGGCGCCGGCAGATGTACACACAAGCGCAGATGTGGTATTTACAACTTACCTTAAATTGCCTTGGTAAAAACGGATAAACTTTGTTTTTAATATCCTCCTCCTTTTTTCTCTAATAGATGCCTGCTGTAGGTACGCTGCAGCTCCTCAAACATTGAACAAAATTCATTTTTTTTTCAAATTACTTTCCAAATTTAGAAATAATTTTCCTTCATTTAAGTAGTGTGAGAGCGCAACGATGCTCTAAATGTGTTGGCATAGCAACGTGATACTTCCGGTTTCCTTTTCCGCCCGTCCTACGAAGGCCGTCTCGTTTAATTCTAGGTCGAGGACACTTCGTATATGCATCCTACAGAGGATGCGACCTTCAGAGGATTCAACCTCCGGAGGGTGCAGCCTTCTAAATGAGACACAGCTTATGAATTCGGACATACTACTCGCCTCGCATACTGTTTTTCGCCTACTATATAGTATGGAAGTATGCGATTTCGGACGCAGCTTCTGAGTCGCCCGCCAAGCACGTTCTAAGCGTCGGGCAATAAATTATCATATGCCAACAAAAACAAAAGAAAAAGAATTATATCATATCGAAATTATTATAAAATGTATGTTAATGATGTTAAGCTCTCGACATTTGTACTCAATATGGATTAATCACAACAGAAATAAATGTTACAGCAACCAGTCAGTGCATGTCGCTAATAAGTCTTGCATGTTCTATGTGTCTGCGTGGAATAGAATCTGATACACAAATTCAAACACAAACACACGTGACTCGCGGTGTTTTCAGCTTCTGAGTCTCAATATATGAGGACATGAAAACATGCACTTCATCTTCAGAGCTGCTCCGAGAGTCACTTCACCAGCTTTATGCAGTTTCATTTGAGAAAAAACACCGTCAAATACACGCTGAAACTAAAACTGAAAGACCTTCAAGACAAACCGTCAACATAAAAGTCAGATTTAACGTGTAATTATATGACTGAATATATTACTACTGTATACTATGTAACGGTATCAACTCATGGGAAATATGAATAATTAACCATAACTAGTTATAATTAATTATTCATATTTTAGATCCGCTGTAGATATTTACTTGACCTCTCAGGGTCAACTGTCTGTCAATTCTAAGAATGTTAATTTCCTGGTTAAGGGAAATAACATCTTACTGTACAATTCTACAAAGAGCTTGTAGCATAAATCTTGCATAATAAGGGACTCCGGTTATGAGCAAACAATGAACACGTCAAGTGTGATACAAGTAAGGTTTTATTAACTACATAAACACTTAAACTAGTCTAACAGACTACATAAACACATAAACTGGTCTAACATCCTACATACACAGGGGCTTGGTATTCTGCAGAAATCCTGGCATCCAGTTTATTGAGTGAGGGGACAGTGACGATTTGTTAATCTAATGAATAATTGATTTGTTAAATCAAATAAAAATTAGTGTGTCAGATTGGTCGAGACGCTACAACTACAATGCAATTCTCAAAGTAATAATATTATTATTTTTTAAGGAATATCATACAACCAAGTTATTTTTTATTATTAGTTATACAGTTCTGTTGTGCAGCATCATGTCTGATAAAATAAAATAAAAATGCAATGTTTTGTTGTAAATTGATTTTCATTTGATTACATTTTAAAAGATTGATTAAATTGTTAGTTTTATTAATTCATTTCACTAGACACCATTTTTAATGATACATTTGTACTGAATCATAAAACATGGAATCCATAAGAAATCAAATGGAAAACAGAATTTAGGGAAAAATAAAAAGCATATCAAGATGTTAGAGAATATATATATATATATATATATATATATGTGTGTGTGTGTGTGTGTGTGTGTGTGTGTGTGTGTGTGAGTATGTATGTATGTATTGGAGTATATCAAACAAGTAGTCCTTGAGACTATTTTATCCCTTCAGGGAGCCCTCACTCACAAAAAGGTTGGAGACCCCTGCTATAGATGATATCGCCTCCCTCATATGAGGATGATAACACAATCTCCCTAGAGTATCACTAATTGTATCATTTTATCTTAAACCAATCCAGAATTTAAGATGAATTAGCGGTCAAACTTTGGTTGATGAGAAGCAAAGACATCAACTTCTCATTTTAATGTTCATGCGTCTCAGAACACCATGGTGATTAGGAACACCAAGGCCATGGGTGCATGAACTAATAAGATGTATATGCCAAATTCAATTCAAGTTACATCGTATAACAGTGTCTACCAAATGCACAAATGTTAATGTAATTTTGAACATAATAGCGCCTTATGGGCATATTTACCTGTCTTGTGAAATGGTGACATCTACTGGTTACATGCAGAAGTGCATAATTTATTTTTGTTTTGTACGTTTATCTAATGTTTTATGTTTTATTATTTTATTGTTCTTAATAGTACAGTGTTAGTTTTAGTGTAGGGCTATTTGTGTAATGTTGATTATACTGTGAAAACCAATCCTAATTCAGCAGCATATATGCCGACTTTATGCTAAACTGCACTAGTAATTATAATACCGTACATTTCACAGCCAGACCCGGAGCAATGTGTCGACTATATGCTTTAAACGACTGCGTGGTCCAATGGACTATATCTACGCCACCTACGACGCAACCTGCGTAAAGAGTTACTGAACTGGTCAGTGAACGAATCCCTTGGTGAATAAAAAGTCCACGGAATTAATCAAAATTTTAGTTTTTTACTACCTCCGTCGTTTTCAAGTTGGTTTTAGAGTCCAGCCCCCAACTTCAACCCAGTATCTTTGATCTGTTTCCTGTTTGTCGTCTTAGTGTAAACAACGGGAGCTGATGTCTATACTCTCAGGTGCTGAACAGCAGCAGTTGAGCGCTTCAGTAATGGGGAGTATAGAAGAACCGGCGGTTGTCACAGCGCAGCGTTCACCGGTTTCACCGCGGAGCGACCACATCTCCTTCCTGGAGGGACACAACCTGTACGTCTGGGGGGGCTGCCAGGTGAGCTCTACAGAAAAATATTAAATCGCGAAGCGATTATTTTCTACCCACTTAAACGTAAAAAAGTGAGTAGAACTATCAAAATAGTTGCTGAGTATTAGAAGATTGTCTGGTTGGGATTAGATAACTTTGTTTTGCTCTTGTTTGGATTACAGAGAAAATGTGAAAAAAAAGTGCTAGTTTAATTTTATTATTGTTATTATATTTATTATTAATTTATTTATTTTAGTGTGCGGATGGACAACAAGTGTAAACTGAGTGTTTAGTGTAGTTTGTCTGGTTGGGATTAGAGAATTTGATGTTTTTTTTTTTTTTTTTTTTTGTGTGTGGATGGACAAGAAACCTTTTTGCCCAGTGATGAGATCTGGCTTTATGACATGGAGAGTGGAGTTTGGTGAGATGCCATGTTTTATTTAAGAACAACTTGGGTCTAATTGTTTTACCAATAAATTATATTTCCAAAATAGCTGGCATCCCTAGCAATAGGTGTTCCTTCTGCAAACTGCACTTTCATGGCATATATTAAGTGTTTTGTTTATTCCACCTGCTGTACTTTATTGCATTAAAACAGTGGGTAGTTCCAGAGTTACCTGAGACTACCATTGTCAACCTCAAACAAGGGATTAGATAACTTTGTTTTGCTCTTGTTTGGATTACAGAGAAAATGTGAAAAAAAAGTGCTGGTTTAATTTTATTATTGTTATTATATTTATTATTAATTTATTTATTTTAGTGTGCGGATGGACAACAAGTGTAAACTGAGTGTTTAGTGTAGTTTGTCTGGTTGGGATTAGAGAATTTGATGTTTTTTTTTGTTTTTTTTTTAGTGTGTGGATGGACAAGAAACCTTTTTGCCCAGTGATGAGATCTGGCTTTATGACATGGAGAGTGGAGTTTGGTGAGATGCCATGTTTTATTTAAGAACAACTTGGGTCTAATTGTTTTACCAATAAATTATATTTCCAAAATAGCTGGCATCCCTAGCAATAGGTGTTCCTTCTGCAAACTGCACTTTCATGGCATATATTAAGTGTTTTGTTTATTCCACCTGCTGTACTTTATTGCATTAAAACAGTGGGTAGTTCCAGAGTTACCTGAGACTACCATTGTCAACCTCAAACAACATTTTCCCCTGAGTTTTGCAATTGCATGTCTGTGTGCGGCAGGTCTCTGAGACATATGGGCGGAGAGGTTCCTCCTGTTCTTTCACAGGCTTGTGGTGCATATCTTCAGGGCATGCTTTACATTTTTGGGGGATGTGACATCAATGGCCACACCAACACGGTGAGCTGCTTTAGTAATGTTATCATCATAAAGCATCACATCTCCAAGTACACACTCATAGGCAGATTAACAGGTTTGGCCAGTATGCGTCCAACATAATTGCATATATTGTCTGTAACCTGATAGGGAATGTGATAATGTGCTCTGAATGTACCAACATTTCCCTCATACTGAGATAAGACTGTGGAAAACTGTGTACATCTCAGTGAGATTTTGTTTCGCAAATGTAGATATCCACCACAAATAGTTTTTGCTCTTTGTGCACACTATAGGAAGTTGGATATACTGTAGTGTAATACAATTATTATTCTAAGCAAATATGACTGAACAAAGCCTCTGTTGAAAGGAAACTCCACCTCCCCAAAATTTCTGGTGAATGTTTTTCTTGTTTCTCTGCCACTGACATACAGAGAGAACAAAGACATAATATCGTTACACTCCCCTCCATACAAATGTTATTATATAAAGCTTTTTTTTTTTATTCCAACTTTTTGATCTTCCAACATCCTAGCATTTCAGACACATCCACCTAAAATGCAATTCAGATACCCTGCAGAATATTTAAGAAATGTGAAAAACAGGTTTATGGGCTTCTGTTTTTAAGCTGCTGGTAGCATTTCTGTGGGGAATAAATTCTCACTGCTTATAATTAAGACTATGTTGCTGGTGTTATGACAGATGTATTGTGTCGACCTGTTGGGTGTGGAATATAGCTGGAAAAAAGTGACAGACACAGTGGGAGGGACACCCTCTCCTAGGGTCAGACATTCATGCTGGGTCTACAAAAACAGGTAAGGAAAAACAAGCTCACTGCACTGTCTATACAGATATACAATACAGTGGTTGCATAATGTCCTCCTCAGATTTTTATAGTATGAATACAGTCTCTAAATTAAAGGACCATGTTTTGAAACTGGTCAGTTGCAACAGCAAATTGGGTTGCAGGTCTGTTAGTGCCATGTACAGTAATGAAAATGGTAATGATGCATATAATTGCTACATAATAAGAAGCTGTTGCTTTATGTCGCAGTTTTATAACAGCTGGTGTCATTCATAGGCTCATCTACTTTGGTGGATACGGTTGCAAAACAGTCAGAGAGGTCAACAACTCCAAGAGCTTTATGGTTGACGAGACTAGCCGGGTGAGCAGAAAGATCTTGGGGGAAAAAATATACAGCTATATGTTACTGGACTTCATTTAGAGTTTTTTTTTTTTACAGGTAACAATCGGGTCAGATATTTTCCAGTTTTGGGGTTGGAATAATGAGGTGCATATGTTTGAACCTGTGACAGCCACATGGACTGAACCACAAACCCAGGTAAAAGAGCAAAAAATAGGATATTGCTAATGTTTTTAATTTTTTTATCTCAGCCATAGAAGATGACATTATACATTATATTATATACAGTATATATTGTATATACAGTATATATTATCTTGTTTGCCTGCTGTCTGGTTCCACTTCTTGCAGGGCCAGCCTCCAGAGCCCCGTTCCTCACATGCCAGTACTACTTTAGGTCATAAGGGCTATATCTGTGGAGGCCTGGTAAGCCATTTTAACCTTGATCTTTCCAAAATTATATTTTTAGTTTTATTAGGTAGACCCTGGTGCAGAGGTGATATCAGTTACAGTGTTATTTATATAATATTATACTATTTATTAATATTTTGTATAATAACTCAAATTTATATATTTTCAGTTTTCATTTCAATTTTATTTGTATAAAATGTATATTGTTTTTCGTATTTAATACGAAATATTAGTTTTAGTTAACAATAACAACACTGTAGCAACTCAATGTAATAGCTGCACATAATGTAAAAACTGCACATAATGTAATAAGTATTACATTATTATTGTAATAAAATGTTCATAATGTAATAATTTTCTCAAAATGTAATAAAATCTTGAGCACATAATGTAATAACAATTATTACATTATGAGAAATGTATTACATTATAAACTGACCAAAAATATTGTAATATTGTCATAATTATATAATTATACTTTTTATTATATATATATACAGGTGCATCTCAATAAATTAGAATGTCGTGGAAAAGTTCATTTATTTCAGTAATTCAACTCAAATTGTGAAACTCGTGTATTAAATCAATTCAATGCACACAGACTGAAGTAGTTTAAGTCTTTGGTTCTTTTAATTGTGATGATTAAATTCACTATCTCAATCTACTCTTCTACTACACACTCAAAAGTGTGTTCTTTTTCTTCACCAAAAGAGTACATACTTTAAAGGGGTCATATGACGTTGCTATAAAGAACATTATGTTGTGTATTTGGTGTAATGCAATGTGTTTATGTGGTTTAAGGTTAAAAAACAGTCGATTTTTACAAAGCTCATCGTTCTAAAAAAGCGAGGTGTGCTCTGATTGGCCAGCAATCCAGTGCGTTGTGATTGGCCGAATGCATCAAGCGTGTGACGGAAATGTTACATCCCTTAACACACTGTGATGCCGTCTCCCAGCAGGACGAGACTAGGGATGCAACGATTATAGATTTTGTTGGTACGATTATTGTCTGAGGAATAAAAGGGATTATAGATAACAATGTTAATAAGTATTATTAATGTAGGACAATTAACTTTATTTACCATACAGGGGAAACTATTAATAATGAGGGGAATAAACTGAACTATCATTGTAATCAACTGTCATCCATACGTATTAATTTTTATAATTTTTATAATAATTCATATACTTTTACATGTGGCCTGAGAAAATCATGTCTATTATTTTGGTTTGTGAGATCAGAGATTGTGCTGCGCACACATGCAAACATTCACGAGGACACAAACTTGTTGTGAACCCTGCCCCGTGACTTTTATTAATAAAATAGCTTAGATACTGAATTGCTACATATTCATCAGCAAGGAGAGGGTAAAAATCACTGTTTAAGTAACTAAACTCACATGTTTGTAGAGAGACGCGCTGACGCAGGTTCACTCACACACACACACTTCTCTCTCGCTCTCTCTCTCGATCGAATAATTAATTCAAGTAGCTAAATGTTATAATTAATTAATTCAAATAAATGTGATCTTACCACACTATTTCATCTGTCTGCTCTGAAGTGGGCAGAATACTGAGCTAACGAGCCATAGCTTCGCGTCAGTCTTGCCTTCACGTCGTGCATTAAAGTAGTTTAAAGCCGTGTATTCGCTCTTTAGCAGCAGTTTTTACGGCAATATTTAAATGACACCCTGGTCATTCTTGGTGTACCCAAAATGGTCCCACACTATCGACTAGAAGGATCGCTGTTTGGTTCCTCTGTCATAGTTCATCTAGTGTGTGTAGTAGCCTCCTTGTCTCTGAGAAGCACAGCATTTAAAGCTGGTGCACCGCTAGTGTAACTTTGTTTTCGTTTTGCGCACGTTGCAACTGTTCTGTTCTGTGCAACAGAAACACTCGGTGTAGCGGAGCCTTTACGATTAATTAACCGTGACATTTTAAAGCACGGTTAATTGTGAAACCGGTTAATCGCTGTATCCCTAGACGAGACTCAGTCCAGCTGCTCAGCTCGTGCACATCCCATCATCGGTTCTCTTTTAGCAGCTCAGTCAATGTACTGTTAGGAGTAACTGAATAACTCAGGATATTGGTTTATTTCGCGTCAGAGGGAGTGTCAGGCACGTTTATAAACCGAATAACTGGATTAGTGCGTACTGGAGACTCGAACAGTTTTAAACAGTTCAGTTCGATTTGGTGAACTTGTTCGACCGGTTCACTAAGAAGATCCGGTTAAATAGAACGATTCGTTCGCGATCCGGACATCACTAGACGAGACAAAACCAATAAAACCCATTACAAACAAGGCATTTGTTGCATCCAGTGGGGACATAATTACTGATTATAATGACTTATACTGTCTTTTTACGTGTTGCGTTGCGTATCGCGCTGCGTAAACATAAAATCATGTCTGCATTTGTGATCGGAGAAACAACAAACAACAAGCCTACTCTTCACTGCTCAAAACTCACGTTTGAATCATCATTGGCAAATTATTTAAATATAAAAAACGTACTTACAGCCTGTGAGTCAGAAGCGCCAGACTATCCGTGCAAAGTTGGAACTGCCCAACTTTATAGAAACACAGACGCATTAGGCTACTGGTTCAGGAAACGGTCCTCATCAATCCTCCATAAAATGCACAGCACACATCTGAATATTTGCACGATACTAGCACAAGTTAAATGAACAATTCTTCTCTTTAATACAAGTTATAACATGAATGTACATCAGAGGATATGTTGAAAAATAAAGTACAACTACAATCATGCATCATTTCTGTGCCTATAAGAGGTTTTAACCAGTGAAACCATCAGTATAACAGCTTGTGAAGAATGTGTCAGTTATGTGACATTTACCTTAGGAAGATAAAACCATCTAATCTTATCGCCAAAATTACAAATACATTAGGCCTATACATTTGTGTAGAATATAAACACGTTTTTATATCAACCATTTAAACGACTATTTCGAGCAATTTTCTTCTGCTCAACTTAGAACTTTAAAAGGATCTCTCCGCTTGGCTCCAGACACTTATAAATGGTGTGAAGAACTTGGAATTTTACGCCGAACCCGCTACATACACCGTTCATGGAAGAAACTTCGAACTTATCACTGCTCGTCTTCAATTAGTATTCCGGTTATCTGTACCAACACCCGTGCTTTTAGAAAAACACAACAGGAAAATTGTGTAATCAACTTTGGAAATCTAAGACCATTACGGTTTGATCATGTCCTTGGAAACTGCAATATTGTATCTTCAGATATTCGATGTGCGCTATTGAACACTCGCTCTTTAACTGATAAAGCATCTGTGCTAAATGACATTATCATTGACGCAAACCTGGACATGCTACTTTTGATGGAACCCTGGCAGGTGCCCAATGACTTTTTAAATTTAAACCTCTTAACACCACCTGGGTACATCTATTTCTCTCAACCTCGTCTCCATCGTAGAGGTGGAGGGTTGGCTGTAGTTTGTTGTGAGAGTATCAAAATATCTAAGACTGAGTTCCATGAAGTTGCATCTTTTGAATATCTTGTATTGAAAATGACTAGCAAAACATCAATGGCTGTAATCTTAATTTATCGACCTCCAAAATTGTATTCAGATTTTTTCTCTGAGATTAGTGAGTTACTTACTCTTGTCTGTGCTAGTTATTCATCTGTAATTTTTCTTGGTGATTTTAATATACATGAAAACACTGTACAATGCAATGAATTGATGTCTGTTCTGGACTGTTTCAGTCTAACTCAACATGTAACTTTTGCTACTCGCTCCAGGGGTCATATATTGGATCTTATATGTACATCTGGCTTATATAATATTCTTGTTAGTGGAACTGATTTTGCTTTTTCAGATCACAAACTACTAAACTTAAGTTTTAGTTTTCCAATTTTTACATCGCTTGTGAAAAAAATGCTCACTTATCGTAAAATCAGTTCTGTGGATCCATCTGCTTTTTCTGATTCAATAAAGGTTTCTACATTGTCAGATTGTTTATTATCCAACTGTCCATCAGAAATATGCACCATCTATAATAATGCCATTTCCCAAATACTTGAGAAACATGCTCCTGTTAAAACTAGACTGGTTCCATCTGCACATGTTTCACCTTGGTTGAAAACTATGGGACTTCGCTTGGAAAGACTGTACAGAAAAACAGGACTCACTGTGCACTCATTGGCTTTGAAAGAACATTTGCTCAATTACCGTACTGCCCTCAATGCTGCAAGATCCTCATATGTCTCTTCTACTATCAAGAATTCCATGTGCAGGCCCAAATCTCTGTTTGCTATGGTCAACAAACTCACTAACCCTCCACAACATGTTATTTCTGGCTCTGAGGTGCTTGTGAATAACTTTTCTCATGCGTGCTTCTTAGCAAAAGTAGGGTGATGTAGAAAATGGGGACGAAATCCTGGAATCTATTCATAAAAACGGAATTTACTGTGTAACGCGGAATGTGACGGAATGAACGGCGCAGATGTGCGTTTCGTTTGCTAGTTTGCTATTTAAGCACGTGCAACGCTCGTGGTTGTCGTCTGTAGTAGCTCAATAGTATTTTTGCCATTTAATATTCACATACACTAGTTCATATCGCGGTTTGATTGAAGTGTACTGAATTGCATTTGATTTATTCATTCAATATTTGACGAATTCCGTGACATTGCTCGTTACACAGTAAACTTCTGTTGTGTAGCATTTTGAATGTACAAAAATTAAAGGGTTTGTTTAATTTTCATTGGAATAAAAGATAGATTAATGTTTTCGCCTTCATTTGATTTGTTACACAACACAGAATTTCAAAAAAAATAAGTAAATAAAATAAAAATGTTATAGGGCCCTATTATTGTATACAAATTAATAAATTAAGTTGTTTTTATGAATTCAATTAATTAGATATGTTTTTGATTAAACCATTAAAATGGAATACAGAAAAATTCAAATAAAAAGCACAGAATTTGGGCCCTAAGAATGT